ATTGCTTTTGTTCCATTTTAAAAGAAATATACTCAAACGATGAAAAATTTCCAAGGGGCATTCTATGGGAGACAAAGTGCTCTCTAAAAACTGCAGCTATGCCTCCCCCCCTTTTGTTTTCTCGTATTTCGGATTCGAATTTAAAATTGGGTGGTGTTGCTTCTATTAGAACTGCATTTCCTGTATTTTTTAATGTTTTCTGAAATCTTGTCAAAGTCATATTTTATTCTTTAATTTTCAAATTTTTGTTTTTATTTTAACCAGTTTTTTTTACTTATTATCACATATTTTTTCTATATTTTTCAAGCTAGTTTTTCCAGTGTTGTTTTATCTTTCGTGGTTTTTGAAAGTTACGTACCTCAGCTTTAGTTTAATCAACGCTAAATGGCTAAAACGCGGCTCATTTTTCACACATGTGCGAACGTCTCCACATGGATGAGTTTCTGGATCCTAAATGAGTCTGAACCTCGGTCTCTCTGAGTCCCTCTCGGCCCAAACTCGGATCAAACTCAAACATTCATTTTGGAGAAAGGAGTGAATGAGGATTTTTGGGTTTTATTTCCCTCGGCTCCGGCTCAGATCGTCCCCATCGCCGTCGGCAAAACCCTGTCATATAAAAAGGAATTATTAAGGAAATTCTGAACTAATTATGGCACGAATATCGAAGAAACTGAAAATAATTTGGATTTTGTCGATTCTGAATTTCCCAAACTGCAAATTTCAAGGAGAATTGTGGCTTTTCTTGTTTGAGTAAAGACTGAGTTAAAGTTGATTACATCAGGAGTCGTCTGGAAGGATTGAGGCTGTAGACCCAGGACTGAGGCTGTAGACCCAGGACTGAGGCTGTAGACCCAGGACTGAGGCTGTAGATCCAGGACTGAGGCTGTAGATCCAGGACTGAGGCTGTAGACCCAGGACTGAGGCTGTAGACCCAGGACTGAGGCTGTAGACCCAGGACTGAGGCTGTAGACCCAGGACTGAGGCTGTAGATCCAGGACTGAGGCTGTAGACCCAGGACTGAGGCTGTAGATCCAGGACTGAGGCTGTAGACCCAGGACTGAGGCTGTAGACCCAGGACTGAGGCTGTAGATCCAGGACTGAGGCTGTAGACCCAGGACTGAGGCTGTAAATCCAGACTGTAGACCCAGGACTGAGCCTGTAGACCCGCCGATGCAAAGGACCGTTTAATAATAAAATTAACTTTTTGCGCACCTCCGGGAACATATTCTATATAAAGTCTGTGGAAGGTCTCTGTTCACAGACACGCTGCAAAGCTGAATATTGGAGAAGAACTTTACACAAGAAGCCGCTAGCTAAACTCTGTTAGCATTAGAGCCCAGGACATCTGGTGTGAAGACCTCTGCGTCTGAAGACTAGAGAACACTGCATGAAAAGTGTGATTTTCGTCCCTAAGCGGCTCTGTAAATGATTGCAGAAGTTCAGGTAAACGGCTCTTCACAGGGAGGTTTATTTGTGTAGCACAATTCACACACAAGGAAACTCAAAGTGCTGAACAAAAGAAAGCATTAATATAAATAATCACAGTACATTAACACAGATAAATACTTTAGTTGTAGCACAGCTAAAGTGAGACAGGCCTCTTCTCTGACAATGTTTAAAACCAGGTTAAAACTGTTTGGTTTAGCTGTGCATACAACTAAGGGAGTTTATATTTTTATCTTTTTAATGTACTGTGATTATTTAGGGTTTTAATGCTTTCTTATTTTGTTCAGCACTTTGAGTTGCCTTGTGTATGAAATTGTGCTGTACAAATAAACTTGCCTTGCCATCGTACTTCCTGGTTCTGGTCAGGACTTCAGGTGGTGCATTTTGAATGTACTGCAGCTGTTATACAGCTGCAAATGCATGGATAAGAATCTCAAAGTCTGCTTTAGACACTGTTCTTGATTCAGTCGATGTTTAAATAGGAAAAAGCTGCTGTCACGGATTTGATGTGGCTATTAAAATTTACTGATTCTTTTTTGTTTGTTTTTTTCAGCTGCTGGAATTGAGACGGGGTGTGCTCGAAGCTGACGAGGTGGATCTCTGGAAGTCTGCCACTGTAGAGCTAATGTCAGATGAAGAGGAAGGCGTTGTGGACGGTGTGTCTGGGTGGATTGTGAGGTCGCCGTCTTTTAGAAAGCCGGAGCTCTCTGAACTCTGTGTGAAGCTGCAATCCCGGTTAGAGGCGGCGCGGAAGTTCAGAGCCACGCACATTAGACGTCTGTGCTACGGACCTCCCTCGGAAAGAAGGCAGCCAACAGACAACAACCCAGAGGAGGCTTTGCTGTTCACGGACTTGTGATTTATTTTTTTTAAATTAATGTGTGGGCAGATAGCCGTGTGTGTGTGTATAATAAACCTTTTTTAATAAAACTTTCTTTGCATTTTCATATTCCTGGTAGATGTTCATTTCCTCTATAAATGTCGTTGATGGCCTAATAATAGTGTAGAAGCCTACATAAATATAAAGATAAACATATATACATATATAAAGATAAAATATATGCAGCATAATATGAATAAATATATATTTATATTAATATTATTACATTAAATTATGAGGCAGGGTGACCAATAATGACAGATCTGCCAGCCAATCACGAGGGATTATACTTATTTGAAAGTAGTGACTTCATCCAATGAGTAGTTAGCTTTATTTGGCTTGGCCTGGTCACGTGTGATTTTTCAGATAATCACGAGTGTTTTTTGTTTTGTTTGAAAGTAGTGGTATGCCAATGTGAAAAGGGTATTCACGCAGCCGGCCAGCCGCTGCATTCATATGCTAATTAGGGACATTAGCATGGTACGGATGCGGCAGTTTGGAGCTCAGGGCACCCTAACAGCGGGTCTTGAAAACTGCCTGAGATACCCGAAAAAGAGGGTGATTTCTTGCCGTTTAGGGTGACGAAAATCTAACTTTTCATGCAGTGGAATGTGCATCTGGTGAGCGGGGCTTCAGCGTTTCAGCGTCGGTCTGAAAGCACCATTACATTTGGATATATATATTCATTTCCAAAAGTAAGACATCGTCCTTTGTCCTAAACAGATTCCTTTCTCTGACACACTGCCTCCGTGTTTATTCCTGGTGTATTCCTGGTGTACTCCTGATGTATTCCTGGTGTTTTCCTGGTGTATTCCTGGTGTATTCCTGGTGTATTCCTGATGTATTCCTGGTGTATTCCTGGTGTATTCCTGGTGTTTTCCTGGTGTTTTCCTGGTGTATTCCTGGTTTGATTCGGCCTCTCTGGTTGTCCACACACTGCACACTTGAGAGAAATAAGTGACTTGTGGAACTTTTTGGAGCCATACATTTTTTTTATTTTTTTTTGCAGAATGTGTAAAATGTGGTAAAAAAAAGAGAGAGTCCGTGAGAGGAGGTGAAGTGACACCTGGGCTCATCGGAGGCGACAGCGGCTGATTAAAATAGTACGAGCCCGAGACCAAGACAGGGCGGAGAGAGGACCGCGACGAGCCCGAATACAGCTGTCAAAAGTATTCAGATAATTCAGGTCATGGAACGATGAGGATCAGAAGGAAACGCAGAGGATTTTGAACGGATTTCTCCAACAATGGACTTAGAATTAGTCTTTTCAATTCAATGTATTTTCTCACAGGCCTAAATCACAACAGTCGTTATCGGACTTTACCAAACTGTTGATCTTGAAAAATGCTAAAATGAAAGGTTAAATAGCGGATTTAATCTTAATTCGAGCACATTCTGACTGAGCCTTAAACCAAGATTTTTCCAACGGGACAAAGCAAAATGATCTTGTTGATTCAAAAAAAAAAACAACTGCTAAAAAAAAAATAGAATAAAAACCACTCGAATCAAGCATTAATGACTTCATATGTTATAATTTTTTGCAGTGTACAGTCTGACACATGTAGGATTGTCAGAATGAGCTCCTAGTGCCTCAAGTAAAGAAGAACTTACAACCACAACTGTAAAAATATGAGTAAGATTTGCTTAAATGGAGTAGTTTTTTATTTTAATCTGACACATTCTGACTGTGGTAAATATTCTCCAACACCATTTTGCTTTGTCCCAGTGGAAAATCTTGATTTAAGGCTGAGTCAGAATGTGCTCAAATCAAGATTAAAAACCACTGGATTTAAGCATTTATTACAACATCATTTTGCATTTTTCCATTTTAGAATCTGCTCAAAGAATCAACATTTATGGACATTAGTCATATCAAGATCAACAGTTTGGTAAAGTCCGATAACGACTGTTGGGATTTAGGCCTGTGCAAAAATACGTTGAATTGAAAAGACTAATTCTGAGTTCATTTGGGGAAAAATCAGTCTCTCAAAATCCTCTGCATTTCCTTCAGATCCTCATTTACTTAATCGTTCCATGACCTGAATTATCGGAATACTTTTGACAGCTGTACAGTATTCGGGCTCGTCGCGGTCCTCTCTCTGCTCTGTTTTGGTCTCTGGTCATTCCAAGAGAGACGTTTCTTGTATCTTTTGAAAACCAGATTATTTTGCTTTGTCCCATTGAAATCTTGTCCGAACATTCTAGTCTGAATATGTTAAAATTAAGAAACATTTTGCAAATTTTTTGTATTGTTTTTGAGTCAAAAAGAGAGAAGCGTTTTGGATTTTGAAAGGTTTGAAGGAGGGTTTTGTTTGTAGTTTTCTGTCGTGCTGCTAGCTTGTTGGGTTTTTTTTTTTCGTACTGCCGTGTAACCGGTGATGACAACACTGACATTTCCCCTCCGTGGTAAAAACAAAGGATCTCTCAATCTTTGAACACTGTCTGTACAAATCCGAAGCAACTAAACATGTGGTGAGAGGGAGGCGTCTGGGGAGGGGAGAGCTCGCACACACACACACACACACACAGCAGGAGAGAGAGAGAAGGCCTGATGTTTGAGGAGGAAGAAGAAGAAGTTGAAATAAAAAGCTTGAGTGAACAGAGAGAAGCATCGGGCCTCGTCCAAATCACGCATGTTTATTCAAAGTCCTGGCGCTCATCACAGAATCCCATC